GAAAATGCATATCTGGAAATTCGTGACTTTCGAATCGCACGTAGCAAACATTTTCATTTTCATTTCTATTATGGCGGCAGTTATTGCTAAGCGGAAGACAATTCAAATTCTGAGCTGCCTATAAAAGTTGATAAAGATATATATCTCTACAAAGTCTAACGCTTTTTGGGTTAACCACTTCCGACTTAGTTTTAATATATACAAATATATTCTTAAGTTATTATTATTTTTGTTATTTATATATACAATTTGAAGTCTTTACTTCTCAAAGTCTTGGAGTTCGTCTTGATGGTACAGTAGAACAATTGGATGATCAAGAATGGATATGCCTTATGGGATTAGAAATTCACTCTTCTCAGTATGCAAAGATACATCTCTCTATAAAGTCAACTTCCGATCTGTAATTTTGATATTTGTATGTGATATATATTATATATATATAGAGCCGTTAGGAGAGCCTTTGCTGGGAAGGCAAGTTTGATTGCAGATCGAAAGATTATAACTATTCCAGCTCCACCAGAGTCAACAAATACAGTTATTTTCCAATTCAAACAATGCGCCAATCTGGCAATCAAAAAATTGGAAATTGCAATAAGAATATATGAATTTTATCTTACAATCGGTTTTTTGGTATGTGACATGCCTTAAATAGTAGTCGGCTTTTGGGGTTCTTAGATAGATCTCAATATGTTGATTGGACTGTGCAGAGAATTAGCTATTTCTGTGACAGCACCGAAACTAATTTGAAGATAGACTACCAGCTATCTATCTATAAGACAGAGCAAAGCAAAGCAAACCCAATCCCAACCCAAACCATGCCAGAGTTTTATCAGCAGCTGGTGGCTTGACAATTGTCACCCCTTGGCGCAATTTACAACACTTGCTTGGAGGAGAGAGACCAGCATTATCAACACTAAACGATCTTATATAGCTAAGATACGACTGGCCGATATGAGAAATAATGGAAGCGTAGACAGGCGTGTGTGGTTGTTATTTTCGTTGTTGCTGCAAGCATTGCTGGACTCATATAAAATGAATTTCAATTTTTGAAAAATTGCCTTTCGAATGCTTGTGTGAAAAACGGAAATGCCATTTTCACCCCCACTACCCATACTACTACTCCCTCCCCTCCCCTTCCCGTCCCAGTCATCCTTAACCGAAACACTCGTCACTCCGCAGCACACTTGGCCCTTTTGTTGTTTCCTCTCCGCGTTTTGAGCTGAGCGTGTGCCCAAATTAGAACCCAAATGCAGCGCGGGAAGCATGAGGGGAATAGGGGAGGTGGTTGGCAGACGTTTTGCAGCACTTTGACACTTTTAGTTTCTGCTTTTCCAACATTATGTGCGGGTACACGTTTTCCCCGATTTCCTATGACAACTAACGGAACTGGGAAAGCGCTGCCCGCTCAAGATGCAGAGACACGTAAATGTTGCATCGACGAACCCTCCAAAAAATAAATTTACATACACCTAGAAAAGTATTTTTTTTTGTTTATTGCTAAATCCTTATAATGTGGGAACTGTTTGTGTGTGTGTGTTGGGAATTTAATTATCGGTTGCATGTCACCGCCTTTTCAATACCTTCATTAAAGACGCCTACTTTTATTGTGTCGGTGCGACTCTTGCCATAATTAAGCGCGCCTAAATACATGGCTTTAGACCAGAAACTACAAAAAATACCCGAGTTTTAATTGCTGTCTATTTTTATCGCTAGCCCAAAAAAGAAAGAAACACATTCAAGAGCTGACGCGCCAGCGAGTGATAAACACAATTTTATTCAAATTACCCGGATGTTAACAATTTGCTGAGCGCAGGCAGCAGGCAAATGTAACAGAAACAGCAGCAGCAGCAGCAGCAGCAGCAGTAAAGTTGATTTATGAATATAATGCAAGGTTAACCTGGCTGTATACATATATATATATATATCTTTTGTGAGCCACTAATCGGGAGCATGCGAAAGTCATGGGAATTCTTTAAAGTGAAAACTGTACTCACCATTTTCCAGATTGCATTCCGCTTATTTACGACGCTTGATAACAAATTAATTATAATAATTAATTAATTATTAAAAACGAACAAGAATATGCCAAGTTTAATTAAGATTTAATTACGAACTCAGTGAATAGTTTGCCAGACAAAAGTTCGACAAACAAAAGAACGATTTATCGGTTCATGTTACAAGCTTTGGGGGAGTCTCCTACGATTTCAAATTAATTATTTATATTTTCTATTCCACTTATCAATTTTTGCTATATATTTAATAATGTTGTTTCCCAAAAATCTCATTCTGTCAACTACTTATATAAGAATCGCCAAATCATGTATTGCTCATCACGACTCAACTTCCACTCGCTCATCCTTTAACCTTTAACTATATATGCCTCGCAAATACTACTTGCTCATCACAATAAACAACAAACTGTTTAAAATTCTTGGCAATACATTTTTGCCTAGTCATTCGTCGGTCTCCGCTGGCAACGCACTAAAAGAAGCAAATTGTGAATTCGCCAAGTTGAAGTCGAAGCAACCCTTTTTTCCAGACTGCCTCGAACAAAAGCCTAAAACCAAATCAACAGCAACTTTTACAATATAAACCCCCCCGCCAAATTGAAGAGCCAGACTTCAACCTCAAGCCACCCCCTCCAGCACTAGCCCCTGCCACCCCCCGCCGAGCAGAGTTAACTGCGTACAAACAATGAACTCATAACTCAAGTGACACTTTTTAACTTGACTGCATTTCATCATGTGGCACATGAGCGCATCTTCTGCTTCTTCTTCTTCGGGGTCTTCTCCTGCTTCTTCTTGTTCTTGTTCATCATGATGGCATTCTTCGTATTCATCTTGGACTCGAGTCTTTTGGTCTTGTGTTTTTTTTTTATTTTTTATTTCTTATTTCTCTTGTCTTGTTTTCAGTTTCAACAATATTCAAATTGAGTTTTCCAGTGCAGCCAACGACGACTGTAGTCATCCATCGTCAAAGTTTCTTTTTGTTGTTGCTGCTGCTGCTGGTGCTGCTGCTGCTGGTGCTGCCTGTATTTGTTAGTTGATAAAAGGCCAAGCCATTATATGCATGGCCAAGCTGCACAATTTTCAAGTGCCCTATGTGTCCAGGTTCGGTTTAAGGGGGCAGGCTGGAGCACAACAAATTTGTATGCATACGGCTGTGGCTGCCATGGCTACCGCCTGGTTCTGAGCCCAAGTCGAACTTCCAACACCGACTCCATCTCTCCAAATGCGACCCGACCGACCTTTGCTTTCCTTTCAATTCAAAGTAGCTCAGCTCAGCACTCGATTTTACTTTTTGATGCCCTTGCCGTGGAGTCTTATCATGTGGTCGTTAAGTGTGCAACACTTGGCAGACTTTGCAGATTATCAAATCGATAGGCAGACTATCTGTGTGAATTTTAAAACAGGCTATCAAACCAAGACTGGGACTGGGACAACGTTATCAATTGAAATTCCAAACTGCACAACGTAACCGATTCCTAAACCTCAATCAACTTAAATATTAAGAAGACATTTTAAGTCGCTTCTTATGGCGAGCAACTTAAATTGTATTTCAATCCGGGAACAGTTTTAAAATTCAATTCGATTTGAGATAACTTGACAAACGTCTCTCAACCGTCAACTGTCCCTCTGCCGCAAGGGTATTCAAAATTTGGTTTGATGCATTGAGCTGTTCATCGTTTCAAATTCGTCATTGGCTTTTGGCAGGGGTAGATTTGGTTGGGGGCAGTCAGCAGTCAGCCGACAGCCGACAGCGCATTCACAGTCCTTCAAAGAATTTCTTGGCTTTCTTTTACACATTTCTGTTTTTTTTTTTTTGTTCCGCTCCAATCGCATATACGTACAAAATTTCGTTGTCTCATGTCGCCTGGGCTTGTCAACCTGCAACACAACCTGCCCCCTCTCTCATCATCAACTGCTGCTGCTGCTGCATCTTTTGCTTGAGCATCGCCAACCCCATTGCAAGTGCAATGAACTGCATTGCAGGCTGGCGGCGTTGATTTATGTTACATCTTCTATGGTTACATTGGCCCAAAAGACCCAACCCCCCACTCTCCCCCTGGACACATCAGCGCCGTCGCTGGTAGCCATTAAGCGCAGCTCACATGTTCTAGTAGAGCAGAAGAGTGAAGGGATGGGGGAGTGTGTGTGTGGTGGCATGGGGAGGGGGGCACAGCACACACGCACATGTGAAAATGATTTATTAGCGGTAATTGGTGTCACAATGTTCCAAAGAAAATGGAAAGGATTGCCAACCAGTCAGCCAGCCATCCAGCCAGCCAGGCATACTCATTCCATGGCATGGCCATGACCAACTAACTCTTCTTCTTCTCCTTCTCCTTCTTCTACTTGTGCTGCTCCTCAGCAGTTCTACTTCTCCTCCCATCTCCTGCTGCACCCCCTCCACAGCTGTCCCGCATTTCCACTCGCTGGCGTTGTTTTAATTATCTTGATTTCAAACTTATTAAAATTGACAAATGATATTCGTAGACAACATCGCGTTGTCCTCAATTCCCCCCGTCCCCCCTCCTGCTCCTCTTGTGCCCCTGCCGTCTTTCGGAGGAAACAGGTTGTCAATGGCAGCTTCCCTGAACTCCGTGCGTTTCTTGATAAATCATGCACACACACACACAGTGTTGCACAGTGCAACATGGAGGCACATAAAGCGGCATACCAGGGGAATCTATCTTCCCTGGTCAGTGTTTGTCATCTCTCTAAATCCCTGGGCTTGGCCACCTTGTCTAAACCTATCTTGATCTCTGTAGACAATCTCATCGATGATGCCGATAAGAAGCAAGTCTGTTGCTTGTCAAGATTAGTATTCACAGTGATTCACTTGCAGCTAGATATTTGACACATCATGCAACCTTAAGTTGTTAGTTTTATTCTATTTCCATATTCGCTTCCCTTTCTTTTAGAGTGAATTATTATATTTCTTAATCATATTTAATCGTTGCATTTTATATTCATTTCCACTCTTCAGTTTTACGCACAACGTGCAAAAATTCCCAACACCAAAATCTTATTTTTATTGCATTATATTATTGGACAAAATGTTACTTGCAATACATTTAATAAAATAAAACGCCTTAGAATTGCTTAAGGTAATCAATTTTTCATCGTTTTAGCCTTGTGCTCCTTGAGGCACATGGAGATCTTGAAGGCCTTGTCGCAATCGTTGGTGCCACCAATGGCCTTGCAGGCATCCACACCGGATGAGATTTCGGCCAGTTTATCCTTGAGTTGGGGTACATTCCTGAGGGTGGCCATCATGGCATCCGCCTGGAACTGACCATTGACCATGTGACCTTGTTTCTCCATCAGACACTTGGTGTAGCACTTGATGTTCTCGTTGGGATTGGTCATCATGCCGCTGTTCATGAACTCCTTTAGCTCGGGCTCCGACACCTTCGTCTCCTCCAGGCACTGTTTCATCAGCTGCGGGAAGTTCGGATCGCTCTGCCAAACCGAATATAAGTTGTCAATTATTAAAATAAGTGCACTGAGGGATTTTGGGTTGCATATGTTACCTGGACAACGGCCACGGCGAAGACCAGAGTTGCTGCGAAAAGTGTTGCCCTCATCATGTTGCCTGACTTTGCTTTGTTGTTTCAACTGCGACTGTTGTCGATGTTGTGGACAAAACAGTGCTTTTATATGGAGCCAAAACAAGTGAGTGCAATTAAGGCAATTATCGTTTTTGCAACTGTTTGCTTCAATTACTGCGTAATCGAATAATAACACCCTGTTCCCCATTATGGAATGGGTGTAAGCGTTTATATGATTTGTGTTAGAGAGAATTATTCCTACTGGAAATATATATGCACATATATTGACCTCATCCAACTCAGCAACTAAAAGATGCTTTGCCACAAATTATATCCCACAGCTTACCTTTTATAGGGTATTCTTTAGTCGTGCTACCTCAACTAGAACCATATTTATTTAGTTTTAAATATTGTAATTATATTTCAGTTGAAATTAACAGCGAAATCTATAAGCAACCACTGGGATTGAGTAACCACCAGCAAAAACAGACAGACGCGCACACACACACACACCCACACCCACACACGCACATACACATATTCACACCAGCACACACACACACAGATAGAGTGAAATTCCAGTCTACACGCACAATGCGAAAATACAATTAGTTTTCTGCTTAAACAACAGCAAATCAATTATTAATTTTATTGTATTTATTTGCATTTGTATTCGTACTTGTGTTTAAGTGTGTGTGAATTCTAGCTTTTATTTAAGTCTTTGTCTAAATTATTCAACTATGCGAAAATTATAACAATTTGTTGTGGGCTTTCAAATGTTTTGGCTGCTCTCTAAATTTCTAACCACATATTTTTGGGCGGCGGAATGGGTGAGGAAAGAGGGTTAACTGACAATTGCAGATTATTTGACAAGGTCATTATTAAATTATCAACAAAATGATCAAAACTCATTCTATATCACTCTCTCTCTCTCTGTTTCAGTGCTTATGCATTAATTTTAGTGGAAATGATTTCATTTTGACAATAATGCAAATTAACAAATTACTGGTTATGGTCAAGTGCCTAACTGGCCTGCTATAATTTTAGCCATTAGACAACTTCAAATATAAATGTGTTATACAAATATTTGATTCACAGCAAGTCACATGATTAGCAATTAACTTTGTAAATAGCAAAATATACTTTTTAATCGACACGTGTCCAAAATTGAACAATACTCGAAGTCCAAATGTCGATATCAGATTGTAAAAATTAACTGGAAAGCTATATTATATAGTAATCCGATGTTATTGAAATGTTGTCTTAATATGACGAGTAAAATAATACACATATGAAGTGAGATTGGTTAGGATATCTTTGTCTATATCTTTATCTTTCGAGTCTTCTAGTGAGGCCGATCATAGCTGATCATATACATACAAAACATACATAAAAATGACTTAATTTTTACAATTTATTAACTCATAATAGATATTTTGTTACCAATCATTTAACTTTCAGCAACAATTTCTTAAGATTTAATTAATACAACCGAAAATGATATCAAAACCACAAAAATTGAAAAATCCATGCCAACATTTTTCGAAGAAAAAAGTTGGCAAAAAGTTACTTTTGGTTTGACTAACTGTGAAAATTGGTTTAGGTTCCAAGAAAAGAGCGGGGTTTTTACTTTCATGGCATTTTCCAACATTTAGCTTAAATATTTATTAACTAAACACAACCATTAAATGAGATGTTTATTTTTAGAATATGCCCGCCAGATTTTCTGTTTGCTTTTGTCTTTTAATGAAAAAACATTTCTTACGAAAAGTTAGCGGCTGATGAAAACGCAAATTTAATCAGAGAAGTTAAGTCAATTACCGTTATTGATATGGCAAGGCAAATATCAGACCCACAAATTTACACATTTACATTTTAAGTCTACTCCTAAATATTTTATGGCTTCATATAATAATAAATATCTTTCATCAGCAAATTGTATGCATGACAATATTTATACATTTAATCGCATCTAAATCTACTAAATAAATAGCATCAAAGTGTTTTCTATGGCAACCAATGCGTACTTGGCTAAAAACAATTAAATAATCCTCACACTACAACAAGCGATTGATAGGATTGGATGTGGTATAAGTTATAGTCTAATTCGTTGGGCAAATTCAAATCAGTAGGCCAAACAATAAGTCGAGGCAACTGCCGCAAGTGCTGGCTGCCACAGACAGAGAGAGAGAGAGAGAGAGAGGGGAGATAGAGAGAGGAAGACAGAGTCCAGCAAAGACTACAATGTCGAAAGCAATGCTGACAGTAGAAAATAATTTATGCTTTTGTTATAAAATGCGCACCTGCTTGTGGCCCTTGCCACTTGTCACGCCCATTTGAACGGACTATCAAAGTTGGGGTGCAACAAGCCGGGCAGCAAGCAGCTAGCAGCACAACCAGACCGGCTCGTAGTTTGTTGTTGTAAGTTGGCTTTTTAGCTGGCCAGCAAGAAGACAAACGCCATTAAAGCCAAAGAACTGGAACTGAAATGGAGATGATGATGGAGTCGGAGTCAGAGTCGGAGTCGGATGGATGAAGTTGAGGGAAGGGGAGGGGAGAGGACGGTATATGGAGACCGACACCGAGACCGAGACGGAGACGAAGTTGGTTAAGCTGGCCAATGACTATGAGTAAGAGTCGTTGACAAAAGGCTAAAGGCACACGGGAAACAGAAGGAATTGGCAACGTGCTGTTAGCCTCGCCCCGCCTCGCCTCGCCTGGCTGTCCTGGCATGGCTGGCTGCTTGTCATTAGTCAGCAAGGATAAGCAAAAGGACATGGCCATAAAAAGGGCAATGCGAGAGCAGCAGCAGCAGCAACTATAAGGTGTGTCCTGTGAATGAATTGCTGAGTAACCAATAATGAAGTAAACTGTGCTGTAGAATCCTGAATGTGTCATTGTGGCAGCAACGAAACTCAACCGAAGCACAATTCACTGTCAGTTGCATTGTTTTGACCTGATTTACATGCCGAACCCAGTTCTGGACCCAATACTACAAATGGCCAAGACAGCCAGTCAGACAGAGATGGAGAGAGAGAGAGAGAGAGAAGACGAAAGAGATGCAGAGCCAGGACATTTATAAATTACAAAAGGACTGAAATGACGACTGCTTCCTTTACCCAGACGACGACGACGACGACGACAACGATGACAGGGCCAAAACAAAGGCCAACGTTAATGAGCCAAGAGAACGGCGCTAGCCGTAACAAACGCCGGGGCCAAATTGTAAGAAAGCAGAACTGTGTCACAATGTTTTGACACACACAGAGAGGAGGGGCAAGGACAATCGTGTAGCCATAGCTAGTTAAGGCTGTGCGCCAAAGACAAAGTTGATAAAATTAGATTTGTATGGTAAATAGTTTCGTGGCTTGGCCAGCCCAGTCGAGCTCAGCACAGCCAGGCCCAATAACCTCTCACCCTACCCCTTGCCCCCCCTGGCGCTACAAAAGTTTAATAAATGTATAAAATTAATTAGACAGTTGAATGTTCATTAACAGCTGGCGAGACAACAACAACAAGAAGAAGAATAAGAACAACTGACAACTGTATTAACTTGTCCCCCTTACCGCTTCCGCTGCCTCATCTGCCAGCAGCACCCACCACGCCCCATTGCCCCTTTGCTAGTAGCTTTAAGTCGGCACTTTTTGATCATCGCTAAGGGGTTTCCTTTTACCAATACTACTTAGCGCTCATAATTCAATTTTTTATACAAATTCTGCTGCTCTGCATTTTGTTTTTTTTGTTTTTCTCTAACATTTTTTCACACCTATCGCCGCTACACCCCCCGCTGTGTGTGTTTTTACCCACAAATATATATATATATATTAATGTATATATATAGTAAGTAGATATAAAACGGAAAGTGAAAAAACAACTCTAAACGCTGTCTGACCTTTAACAATTGCCCAAACCACGTGGTCTCTCTTTTGTGCAGGAGAACTCATGTTGTGAAGGTTTTTTGTTACTTTTATTGTTGTTGCCTTTCTTTCTTTCATTTCTTTTTGTTGTTGTCAAAATGTTGCAGTGGTTGCAGCAACAGCAACAGCGACAGCAACAGCAGCGTTGACCACAAAAGTGCCGGACAGCAGGAAATGAAATCAAAATTATTTTTGGGCATTGTGGTCGAGTAATTGCTTTTCCAGTCAAATTTCGTTACACATGCCAGTAAATCGGTGGAGAGTCGGAGTGGGAGAGGGAGAGGGAGAGGGGTGTGGTAACCTTGTTTTAAGGATATTGAACGGAAATAATATACGAGAAGTATGCCTAATCGAGAAAGAAACACAAATTAGAATGTTTGAGTCGAGCAGGCAAACTGAAACCAACTGTTTAACAGCTTTGCTGAGAGTACTTTTTTCAATTTGAACAGTTTATCCATAATATATCTAGATATATTAATTAAATGCTGTTTTTTATTGTTATCAGAAATAAACGATGGCAAAATTATATACAATTGATCTACATATTCTATAAGAGAACTAATATTCAGAAAGTTTCCAAATCTTATAGTCTCTGAAATAGGCTTCCAACTCGGCCTTTGCTGCTGATCAGGCATATATATATATATATACTTAATGGGGTTACAGTTGCTTCCTTCTGCCACTTGCATACCTTGGCACAACTTCATTATGCCAAGTGTACAAAACTTATGTAAATTATCAATCGACTTGAGTGCATATGATTATAAGGATGGAGCCAAGCTGGCAGATGAATAAATGTTAGTTATGGTAAAACTTACTATACAAATCTTTACATTCTGTTGGTGGAGAATCCTTGCACAATGCTTAGCGTCGTTTGCTAGCCATGGCCAAAAACAACCAGCACCTAGACAATTTCAATAAAACGTAATGTAAATTCAATAAGGCAGCTCTTGGGGTTTTCTATTACATTTAACGACAAGCAAAAAGCGTTGACAACGAAAACTCGAAAGTCTGAACACTTGAAAAATTTAATTTATGTAATTCACACACACACACACACATAGAAACACACACACACACACAGACAGCCAACACTTTTCGCCATTGGCAGCTGTAATTGAAATTGAGTGTTATGTGCAGATGTGTGTGTGAGCATTTA